GGCCATGACCTCCCCACGAGCAGTGTGACAGCAGCTAAGTACAACCAGACGTGCCCGCAACTCAGCTTGTATGACATCTTTCATGGTCAGTAGATAGTCTCTCTCTTGCGGCTGAGGGTTATCTCTTGTGGTGTTTGGTGCCAGGATAACTTCTCCAGTTTCCATTTTACCGTGCGCTGCTATATGAACTAACGCCACTGATGATATTCGTTTTAACACTTCAACTTTTGTTGCCATTTCTCCAGTGAGAGGGGAAACATTGAAGATACGTCCGATCATCTCCACTTCTTTCCTTGCTCCCGGAAGTTGCACCAAAAGTCCTCCCTCATAGATGATATGTTTGAAACATGGGTCGCCGACAAGCAATGCACCAGTCTTCACGTGAAAGTCAGCTGGAGAATCATGAATTAGTTGCAAGGTCGTCAGAGAGGGAAGCACACGAATTCTGAAAGAATCACTTAGATATGATGAGTTGGAGTCCCGCAACGCTGCAAAAGGTACAAGGCTAAATGGCCCCTCAGGAACGAATGTGATCTCGTCGTTGCCCTCGATCAGGTCAGCAATAGGAGTAACGATGATGTCATGCAGTTTCTTTAAGGCACTTGACTGGGAGTGCCTCACATTAACTCGGATCACATCATTGGCCACCTCCTCTTCTGTCAGCGAGTCAAGCGGAGGATTTTCGATTGTAATAGTACGTTTTGCACCGATTTCCTTAAGAGCAGTTTTGTTCAGGTGCTGGATGAAAACTTCCAATTCATTCTCAAACTTATAATTGTTGACGTGTACTTGCCTCATCTGGATATTATTTTCACTGAGGCAAACCCAGAAGTTAACGCATGGTCCATTAATGGCTATGAAAACTGTGCTCAATGGAACCCACCTCAGAGAAATGCGGGATGCGCTGGGCGTTAAAGAATCTCCAGGCTGATATTTTGTGACCATGAGATCTCTCAGAGCTTGAGCACGTCCCTTCTCTATGGCAAGAAGAGCCTTCACAACTTGACCTCGACTGAGATTTATACGCCACAAACCTTTGTATGCTGCTTTGTGCTGATTACGATAACAAATCTTCCACTGATCGTTGAGTTGAAGACTGGCCCTGATATCATCATACAATTCTACACTAGAGTAATAATAGTCAAAGGCTCTCATGAGATCTCCTTGGTACTCAAAACTGACTCCAAGGGAACAGAGTGAGCACGCCTCTCCAGTCTTATCTCCCACTTCTTTGGATATTTCTAGGTGACGTTGATAACACTCAATTGCCGTTTTCGACTCTCTTTGACGGAGATGAATCCCGCCGAGAAGGCAATAACTTCGTCCCTCTTCGGCCTTGTCTCCCACTTCTTTAGCAATTTCTAGATGACGTTGATGGAACTCGATTGCTGTTTTGAATTGTCTTAGAGTGCAATAAGCAATGCCGAGATTGCCATAACTTATTCCCTCTCCGGCCTTGTCTCCCACTTCTTTAGCAATTTCTAAATCACGTTGATAGCAATCGATAGCTGTTTTGAACTTTCGTAGACCTTGATAAGCGTTGCCGAGATTGCCATAACTTCCTCCCTCTCCGGCCTT